GGGGGGGGGGGGGGGGGGGTGAGTTGAAATCAAATACAGAAGAGGCACAAGTGCTTAGAGCGGGTACATCAATGGCGATACTAAAGCTCAAGTCTTATTATTATCTATTTCTATTAGGTTTGAGTTAAATGAACCATTATCAAATACTTTCTTGCTGTTAATTTATTGGAATGTGACTAGCTTATGATGAACAATAAAACCTTATCCTATTAGACAAATGTCTTGCTGTGTAAGTTCCTCTTTGACTGGCTAGTTGTAATGGGAGTGGAAGAAAAAATCCAGTAACTTCTAAAGTGCTTGAAGGTTCACAGACTACGATTTCATGCAGCAAATGGGAGGAAGGAATAACAATGACACATGAGGTATGATCCTGACCATGGTAGGACACTCGCCAGCTTTAGCCGTGGTAAAGACGGACCCGCTGAGATATAGAGCCACGGCACAGAGGGCAGGACTGCAGGGGATCGCTGCAGGTCTGGCAACAGCATACATGTCCACACGGCAGGAAGATCACCTGTGACTGTGACACAAAACAGAACAGGAGAGGAAATTACGGTTTCTTTCAAAGCTGCTGAAAAGCAAATATTTTGCATTGTTACAAATAATTTATATTTTAAACAAACATTGTTCTTTTAAAAATATACTGAGATAGAATTGAGACCTTACCTCATGTTCCATGCACACCACACACTCGGAACTGCTCCATCTATCAGGACTTGGGGCAGTGGGGGTGAGGGGGGTGCTGGGGGTCAGTGGAGGAGTGAGCTGCTGTTGAAGTGGGGTGCTTGGAGTGGATGGACCAGCTTCCTGTATCTCTTTTGCTGTTTTAGGCAATGTTGAAGGGGCAAACATGTTAAGATACCCTCAATCACAACTTAAAAACAAAACATCGCTGAGAAGCATTTACAAATGTCACCTAATTAAAAATAGCATGTCCTCAAAAGAAAATGTATGTTCTTACGATCAGACAGAGTGCGTTCTCTGGCCCAGTGGAGAAGAGCTTTCTGCACGCCAACCTCATTGATCCCCAACTGTAGTAACACAGAAAAGATTTGAATGGACATAAACCTCTGATGACAAATTCCTAGAGACACCCACTACTTAAAACTTCAGTGTGCTAAAACACAGAAGGAAATGTGGCGGACCTTTCTAAGGTCTTTAGTGGTCATGTGTCGCAAGGCCTCAGCAGTGATTCGGTGGTGAGCTATGATTGGCAGGTAGTGTTGAGCAGAGAGTTTACACAGCAGATTCCCCAGATCTGCATCTACAGCTGCCTCCTGAGGAGAAAGGAGAGGTCAGCAGAGCGTCCATGATTTTGTGATTTAAACACAGGGTCTTTGAGCCTATAGGAGAGCTGCTCTGACCTGCATCCGCAGAGACAGAGGTTTGGCATCCAGGAGCCTCTGATACTGGATCATCCAGTAGTTCTGCTGATTGGATTCACTTTTCTGCTCCATCTCCACCTGAAAAAACAAAAAAACAAAAAAAAACTTAGCACCATAGCTTACAAAGTACAAGCAACATACAGATGCATCTGTTGCTTTTTTCAAAGTCCTACACAAATCCAACACTATGTATCAGGTTGTTGTTGTTTTTTTAACCCAGTGGCGACTACCATGCTAAAATGTATCAGTCTGGTACATTGCAGGGGTTTTCGAATTGGCCTGTATTTCTTTATTTGATTTTTCTACACTGAATAACAAATGTTAGATATCAAAGCCTCAACAAATGACATATTAATCAGTAAAATATAATCCATGGAAATAAAATACAATTAGAACCCAATAATATCTAAAATAATAAAATAATAAAGAGGTAAAAATTTGACCGAAAATAAAAGGATTTTAATGTTGTTTTAAAGGCTGTCAAAGTTAAGGTCCATTTATCTGATAATAAAATGTCAAACAAATTAAATAAAATAAGCTGTAAAATATAATACACTGCCGTAAAATAAAATTAGAGCAGAACAATTAATAAAAAAATTAACTGTTTTACTATTTAACAGTTTTACTAAAAAAATAAAAAGCCTGTCAAAGATAACATGTATTCTTCAGATACTAATGTGTATTAGATTTTTTTTTCTCCCACACACATTTACACCAAATTTAAAATGCTGTTTTTTGACAATATCGGTATGACCTAAACGTGATTTCTGCAACAGTGACTGAAGCATGTGAAATGTTTCAGTTAACTGATCCAATTTTGAATGTCTCTTTTGATCAATCAAGAATCAAGAAAGTTGGTCCATAATCACTTACCAAAACCATCCTGAGCTCCTCCTCCCTTTGGTCCTTCTGTTTGAGTAACTGCAGCAGTAGGTCAGTCAGAGCAGTCCTCTGGTCAGCCAGCACCTCCTAACACACACACACACACACACACAGTAAATACACACACAAAGGATTTATACTCCCAGAATACTGTGATAACTCATAGAGGTGGTGTGAGCATGATATTTAAACAGGAATGGGACGAAATGGCTAAGAAACCTGAGAGTGACAGAGAAATGTAAAAACAAGGAAGAGAAGTGATGTGCGATGACAGAGTCATCATTACTCTTCTCTACACTCCACAGCATGATGAAGCACTGACAGGAAACCACCACATCATCTACTGCTGCTACGTACCTGCAGGTTCTCAGTGTCCAAATTCCTCCTCTTAACCTCCAGCTTTGTCAACTGCATTAACTCTGTCTCTATGAGTTTAATCTATGGATACAAGCATACAGTGAGGGTGTGAATGGCCCCATGGAGACACGATAAAACAGCCACCTTTTGGGTTCTGCATCCAATGAGGTGGGATGTGAGAAGCATGGGCTGACTGAAACCAAAAAAAGCTTTTAATGACTAGAATGGCTACACAAGCCCATCTGAAACATTACTTACTTTAACAGTATATAAGCTGACCATGAAATACCCACCGAATGGCTTTGTTAATGATTATACTACCATTCAAAAGTTTGAGGTCAGTAATTTTTTCTAGGAAATTCATCAATTTATTCAGCAGGGACACATTAAAAGTATCAAAATCCACAGTAAATACATTTAGAATATTACAAAGATCTCTTTTTCAAATTAATGTTTTTAAACAACAAAAATAAGAAGCAGCATAATTTTCAGTATCGATAAGAAATGTTTCTTGAGCACCAAATCAACATATTAGAATGAAATAAATGAACAGAAATAAATGACATTTTTAAATACATAAAAATAGAAAACAGTGATTGCTGTATGCACGCTGTATGCAGTGATGACTGTATTACTGTATTTTTAATCAAATCAAATAAAAAGAGACTTCTTTCAAAAAACATCAACCCCAAACTTCTGAATGGTAGTGTATATGTTAAGAAACGACAGTGCTGATAAAGTTAAAACTCCTTCAATCAACCAGTAGTATGATGTAAATCACTGTATCTGTGGGGTCTTGTTGGCTCTTCTATCCTAAAGGAAACTTTAATCGGCATACCTGATTACGGATGTAAGCATGCACACTGTCCTTCTGGAGTTGGAGGGCTTCAAAGGCTGCCTTCTGCATTTCCTCCTGCAAATAAAAAGCCAATTAGGGTTAATCATTCAAGACCTACTAGACCAACAATGCACCACCTGTAATATCTAATGTAGTTCATTAATGTATTTTGCCTGTGGAGTGAATAGATGGATGGAGAGCAAACTAGTTTTTAATAACAGTTTTCAATTCATGTACATAGTAGGTTAGTGATTTAAATAGTTACCTCTTGAAGGATCTGACTAATGGCTTTGCTTTTGTCTAGCTGCTGCAGGGACAACACTTGGTCAAACTTCCTATCCATATAGTCCAAACTAAATAAAGGGGCAAAAAAGAAAAAATTAAGACACAAGAAAAAATGCAGTTTACTCACTGCTGTTTGTTTGAGGTTTTTTATTAACAATCAGCACAATAACATAGTAAGTGATTTCAAAATCAGAGAATGTCCCTTTGAAATCCAAACAAGTGGTCATAGAATATGCATTTGAAATGCCTGACCACTTGTGGTCAGATCACAGAGACGGATGTTAATATCAGGTGTAAACAGAGTGAAAAGTTGCTGGATAGAGTTCAAAAGCATATGTATTGGTGGGAACCGAAGCACCTCCTGCAGGTCTCAGACAACAGAATCTGTGTCTTGGCTTCCCTGGCCTCCTGAAGTAACCTTAAAGAGTAGCTCTCTGACAGCATCCTCTGCATGGCACCTGCAAACATGTAACCTTTTCAGAACCACAATAGCTAAGTTTCTTTTAAATGTTATTCACTTTTTATGAGACTTTTTTAACTGATAGAGGCAGTAGATATGACAGAAAATAGGGGAAGTGAGATTGGGACATGATGCAGGTCTAATTCAAACTATGAGTACCAAAGCACCAACTTGTCTGGAGCAGCTTGTTTTGTCAGAGCTTCTAATGACTTTCCTAATACATCTAAAAATAATTGTAATTTCTAAAACTCACTTGCCACTTCCTTCTTCCTAAGAGAGTTGGCTTCATCCTGTGTGATGGCAGTAAGGTGTTCCATTCGTATACTAAAAAACAACAAATACAACTAATTCATAACTGTATCTCTATTAAAAAAAAAAAAAGAAAAATCACGGTAAGTCCCAGATTTCACCATGTGTGTGATTAACATCTACATACACTACAGTTCAAAAGTTTAGGGTCAGTAATATTTTTTAAGGAAATTTTCTATTACTTTTACTTTTCATAATTGTTTTATTTTATTATTATTACTATTATTATTATCATTATTAAGCTAGGATGCATTACATAGATCGAAAGTGGCAGTAAAGGCATTTATTATGTTTTTTAAAAAATCTATTTAAACAAATTTCACAATATTACTGTATTTTTGATTAAATAAATGTGACTCTGGTGAGCATAAAAGACTTCTTTCAAAAACATTTAAAAACCTTATCAACCCCAAACTTTTGAACGGTAGTGTATACATTACAAACAACAGATTCTGATACACAACTAACACCCCACTGCAGTGTTTGTGAAACTTTCTGACATCTCCAAAAATACCTGAATGTAACAGTAAATTTTGAACTTCAATCTGTGTGCTGTAGAAGCACCACAACAGTGGCACTGTCCAAACAGCTCAGTGCTTGCACTAAATCTGGACTGAAGTTTTCTTAAGTGGTGCCATTAGAAAGAAAGAAATTCACTTAGCAAGAGCTGCATTGATGGCAGGAGCCCATACTCCATTACAGAGTTCGACCCACACGTAATTTCCACTCACCGGTCTTCCTCCAGAGCTTGCAGAAACTCGGCGCTCTTTGCCTGGCTATAATCAAATGAGCACAAATGCACAATAAATAACCACCCTTCAACTAGAGAATAATAATGGACTTAGCATTACTAAAGTGATAATGGTAGCTAAATAAAAAGTGAGATATTTAAAAAATGGTTCACACGGTACCCTCACCGTTTGTTATCAAGTAGGAGGTCAGAGATGCGACTCATGATATTGCTCTCTGCCAGATGTACTTTATCCAGCATTTTCTGCCTCTCTGTCTCCTGGGCCTTCTGCTGCTGAGACACACCTAACTCCAACCGTTGCTGCTCCTGAGAGACAGAAAAGCACAGAGACTAATCTTTCTGATAATAAGGTCATTGTAAATGAAAACATGTTTTTATAAGCTAGCTAAGTGTAGTGACAGTACAACCTGTTACATTAATACTTTTCTTCAGCAAGAATACATTAAATTGATCAGATGTGGCAGTAAAGACATTTATAATGTAACAAAACGAAAGATTTCTACTTCAAATAAATGCTGTTTTTTTCATCAGATTCCTGAAAAAAGCCTCACATTTTCCACAAAAATATTACAGAAAAATATTATTAATACTATATTAATAAAATATGAATAATACAGTCAGAATAATAACATATGTTTCTTGAGCAACAAATCAACATTTTAGAATTAAAGGATCGTGTAATACTGAAGACGTTCTATTAAAATAGAAAAAAAAAGTTATTTTAAATTTGAATAATACTTTACAATACTACTGACTTACTATATTTACGTATATTAAAATCAAATAAATGCAGCCTTGGTGACCAGAGAGAGCTGTTGTTAAAAAAAAACTAAAAAAAACTTACTGCCCCCAAAATTTTGAATGATAGTGTAATTCACTCAAATGAAAAATTTTGTAAAACACATTCAAATCTACAATAAAAATTGTTACCAGTTTGACAGACAGCAGGACATCCTCTTTGTGGGAGTTGTTGAGGAGGAGGAGCTGAGTGTGCTCTCTCTGTTTCTCTTCAAGATCTTTCTCAAAAATCAACTTTTCCAGCTGTTTCTGCACCTAGTGGAGAAACAGAGAGAATATGATGTAAATACTACTTCACTGGATGATCCAACAATAACAAAAAGAAACCAAATCAAACATACCTTTCTTTTCTCATAGTCCATGAATTTGCTCTGCAGTGTCAGATAGAATATGTTACATTAACAGATCAAATGGCACACTATATTTTTAGGCACTGTTTGAAATGGCTGATTAATAGTGATGACTGACCTGCCAGGCCATCTCTTCACCATCAACACAATCCATCTCCTGCTTCCCTTCATCATGCTCCAGCACAGGCAGCAAATACTGGGATGGAGGGCAATACTCCAGACTCATCTCTGAATCCAATTAAACAAACCAGCTGCACAGATTGGCCTTGTACCATCACATGGGGTTTTTAATTTAATTTATGCATTTAGCAGACGCTTTTATCCAAAGCGACTTACATTGCATTCAGGCTATACATTTTTTTTTTACCAGTATGTGTGTTCCCTGGAAATTGAACCCACAACCTTTTAATATTACATTTTACATATACATTTTAATATTTAACCAAATCTCGTGCATAATCTGTATTGTGCACAACCTGTATACATCAGTCTGTATCTAACCAGACAGTAATAAAAGCATATTGTGTAAAGTACTACTTTAGAACAGATCCATACCTGAACAGAGGTAGCGCTGCACTTCCTCTGTGCCGGCCGTGCACACTGATGCAGGTGGATATCTCATAACCTGTGCATCCAGAATCAGGCTCTGCCACATCACATATACACATAAACACATGAGGATGTCTTCGCAGAGGTCACATTGCCATTTGAGCTTGTACGAATATATTCCAATTTAAAATACTCACTTCCAAAGTACGAACACTGGCCAGTTCTTTAGGTAATTCTCTAATGCTGTTCTCACTTATGTCTAGTGTACGCAGGCTACTCATGCGTCCCACAGACACAGGAATGTCAGTAAGGCTGTTCCCTGTATCCATAAAAACATTTTGTTAATTTAAATGGTTTACGTGTTCATGTGATGTTAAATAAACTCTTTTACATACAATTTTAATGACTACCAAAGTCTCCCTGAAACATGTTAGTAACTACCTGAAATCTACTGCAGTGCTTTAATGAAGGTGTTTAAAAATGAATATGAATATCTTTTTGTGCCAAAATTATCTTTAAAAAGCACATAACACACCTTTCACATTAAGTGTCTGTAGATACCGTAAATCCCCTATAGAGTCCGGCAGCTGTTTAATGTGGTTCTTCTCTACATTCAGCACCTTAGAGAAGAAATCAAGGTAGTATGTAAGCAATAAATATGAAGGATACTAATGATCAATTAAAAAATATATTTAAAGAAAATGTATCCTTGCTCTAGAAGATTCACACTTCACTTTGGTACTGGCAAGATTGTTTTATTGCTTTTTTTGATAGACGTCTCTTATACTCACCAAGGCTGTATTGAACAATAATGCAGTCTAATTTAATAATACAGTAAAACAGTATTGTGAAATACTATAAAACATATACATACATATATATATATATATGTTTTCTATTTTAATTATTTTAACAAGTAATTTATTCCAGTGATGGCAAAGCTGATTTTGTTCCCCATCAATTCATTTTTCAATGACTCCAGTTTTCAGTGTCGCATGATCCTTCAGAAATCATTATATGCTGATTTGGTGCTCAAGGTACATTTCTTATTATTATCAATGTTCAAAACAGCTGTTTAATATTCCTGTAAAACCGTGAAACAAATGTTCATAATTCGTTGATATTTAAAATTGTTTTACTGTTTTTTACAACAGGTCTTTACACTCACATTTGATCAAATGTAATGCATTCCTGCTGAATAAAAATACTAATAAAAAAAAATAAAAATCTTAGTGACCCCAAACTTTTGACACACTAACCTACCTAGTGCTATACAGTGATATATACAGTAATTATGCCAATGGGTCTTTTACAAATCAGCATTAAAAACAGTATTCTGTTTTCAAATGCCACATAAGAAACAACAATTCACATCAGCTTTGTTCATATACAATAAAAATACCTGCAAGGACAAAAGCTGCCCGATGTCATCAGGAAGTGATGTGAGCATATTTTCATGCAGGTCCAACACCTTAAGAATTGACACACAGAGATGTTGTCACTGGACAGAAGTGTAAGATGTTTATTTGCTTGGCACTGTTGTCATCAATCAATTTCTCTCACCTTTAAAGTTGCTAAGGCACCAATGAAGCAACTTTTAGGAACAAGTGACCTCAGGTCATTTCCATGAAGAATTAACACCTGCAATCAAAGTGGAAACTGCTGTGAAAGATCCGATTCCCACCAAAGGTTCAGAGAAAAACACTGCAGTAAATAGACTCACTTTCTTCTGGAGGACTTTACATATGGAGAAGGCACTGGAGGGAACCTGCAGACAAGTATTGTGTAAGAACTGGTGCAATATGGATAGAAGCTCAGATATCTAGCAATGACTCATCTTCTGTCTTAGATGAAAATTTCACCAATATGTAAATAATGATATTAAGGCTTTCTGTAATTCACCTCTGCAAGCTCACAGGCAGAAATGTCCAGAACATCATCAGCACCTGCTTCTTTGGCCTGCACAAAACAGGCATGTGTGTTAAGATCTGAAGCAGTGCCCCCCCCCCCAAAAAAACAAAAAAACTCACCAGGCATAGCTGGTATTCCAGGCGTTTTATGGAATCCTCACTGGGTTTCTTCTTTTTGGAGAACAGAAACATCCTGAGGCAAGTGAGATTTTGTTTGCCCAGTCAAAACCCCACAACATCCACAAAAGCCACTGGATGTTAGTGTGACAATTGACTGACTGTGGTGTTGACATTTCCAAAGAAACAGAAACATAGTAGAACAGTGTGAACAAAGTCAAGTACGACAAGAAACACACAAATAAACACTTGCTATATTACAAATTATAGTCCCTCTATATTCATAGGACTTCAAATGGCACTTTTTGACTAGACTTTGATGATTACTGAAACCTGGTCTTGAAGCCAAATAGCGCGATATAATTAAATGTACATACCGTATGCGAAAAGACGAATATACGCGATTAACCGCTAAATTAACTAAATAATTTAATGAAAACATGGGCTTCTTCAAATGTTTCAGTATTAATTTCTTGTCCGTGTTACCTAGTATACTCCCTCTCTGGCAGTACACACACCAGGAACAACCTCTCGGATGTTGTGAATGACGTAATGCTTCGCCGCACTGTGGAAGGTTGTTCAGTTCTCGCGATATTTCGTGGCTTTATATTGGTGGCGCCACACTTCATCGGCCCTTTCTATTTTCGATTTTGTGGTGAAGGTGCAACGCTTTTCGGTCGTCCCGAATCCGGGTTCATCCGACACCGTCACCAATTCAAGTCGAACTGAGGTCAACTTCAGCTGATACACCATGCCTCCTAAATTCGACCCCACCGAGATTAAAGTTGGTATGTCTGGAATACGGTAACCGTTAGACGGATTTCTGATTACGTTAGGTCTGAGCGGCCATGTCTGCGCCTTGGCCTTTCGAGCGCTGGGACTAATAAATGAGTAGAAAGGTAAAACTACAAAAAAGTACTTAACGGTGTAGTTTCGTTGAACCATTTCAAGCTGAATGTGTACATACAACATATACGATATTTGTAGTTTATCCTAGAGACGTGTATTTTAAATGCTATCTGTAGCTTCTCCGTGCATGTGGCGTTGTGAATGTAAAACCCAGAGGCCCTTTATTCTGTGGTCTTTGATCAAATACCAGTTTCTTGCTGTAGTTTCACAGCACTCAGGGTTTAAAAGATAGCGCGTTTTCACGTGCTGCTGAACGGCTAAACTGAGCTGAACCTATAATGGTTAGACATTTTAAAGGGTTAATTCACCCAAAAACAAAAGTTATGTCATTGATTACTCACCCTCACGTCGTTCCAAACCCGTAAGACGTTCGTTAATCTTCGGAACGCATTCGGAATTGAGATTTTTGATGAAACGAGAGCTCTAAGACCCTCCATAGACGGCAGTGTAACTACAACGTTAACTACAAAGGCCCATCAATATGACATCAGTGGTTCAACCGTAATTTTATAAAGCTACAAGTATACATTTTTGTGTATAACGTTTTAGCACAAAGCGGTATAGCATTTGCAATATGTTTTTACCCATCCAGACTATGTAGATGCATGAACCAGTTAAACTTTTAGAGAGAGGATAACCTTTTGAAAGCTTCCACTACAAAAATTTTAGTGGCAGTGCATACCTTGGGGTTAGGCTGGGAGCGGAGTAATCATTTTTGCCATCTGTGTGATGTCCGTTTCTGTCTGTTAGTGAAACCTCAACAGCATGTTATAGGGTTTTAATATTGACCCCAACTAGAACATGCTGTAAAGAATAGATTCGAAGTAATCCTGCACAGGCCTTTCTGTTTTACATAAGCCAGGTATGACGGAGTTATTTGCATAGCTGCTTTCTGTTGAGCTTCAATGAATGACGCTCAGCGCTGGAAAAAGCGTTTGTTCATTTAGGGCTTTTCCCCCTGCAACGTTTAGAAATAAGATCACTCTGTAAATGTCTTACACAATCTAGAAGTTAAATGAAAGTGTACTAATTCTAGTAATAAAAAAAACACTAACTTTTTTTTCCCCCCTAGTGTACATGAGATGCACAGGTGGAGAGGTCGGTGCCACTTCCTCGCTGGCCCCCAAAATTGGACCTTTGGGTCTTGTAAGTATAGCTATCATGGTTCAGTCTGTATTGTTTGATCCTATTCTCTATCATAAATAATCCCCCCGCCACTGTTCTAGTCTTTAAAAGTGACTTTGAACAATCCAGTGGAGGCTTATAGTGACCCACACCAATTGTGTCGCAGCACACTGACACTCTTTCATGCTGTATGCTCATCTTTCGTTCTCTATTCTTTTTCTTAGTCCCCTAAAAAGGTGGGTGATGACATCGCAAAGGCCACCGGTGACTGGAAGGGCCTGCGAATCACTGTGAAACTGACCATTCAGAACAGGCAAGCAGCGGTAAGCCCTTGAAGTGTTTCAGTCTCTACATTGGCTCTTGCGGTCATCTAGCCTTTAGATGCTTAAAGGTTTTGTTGTTGCTGTAGATTGAGGTGGTGCCATCAGCCTCAGCCCTCATCATCAAGGCGCTGAAGGAACCTCCCCGTGACAGAAAGAAGGTCAAGAACAGTAAGTAGTAGCTTTTTTACCCTACCTCAATAATACACCGTGTTGGAGGAATCATGACTTTGTGGGTTCTGGCCTTTTGTGGTTATTTGACTGCAAGCCTCCCGCCACTGTGCTTGTCTGTAAAAGTGACTTTGTACTGCCAAAGGAAGGCTAATAATGACCCAGCTCTAGGAAACAGGGCTGCCCAACTTAATGGGTGACTCTGTGCCGAAAGGTCTGGAACAAGTTCTATTGCAGTTCTTGTTGGCCAGAGTGTTGTATGATGCACACTGCCATTCAGAAGTTTGTGGTCTGTAAGCATGAACTTTTAATTCAGCCTGGATGCATTAAATTCATAAGTGCGTAAAAACTACAGTAGTTTTGAAACCAAATAGCACACCATTAACAACAAAAAATGGACATGCCTTAGGCGAAGACACAAATATATGCAAATAACTGCTAAATTATTTGATCAAAACATAAGCTCCTTGGTGTTTCAGTACAAATGAATTCAACCAGAATGCGTTGAAGTTTTTTTGTTACAAATTTGTTACAAGTTTAGCATGAGACTTGTGCTTAAAACGTTTACGAGTCTCACCGACCCCAAACTTCTGAAAGATAATGTACATGGTATTAGTTTATTTGCATTCTATATGTGCCTGATGTTTGTATCATGTTTGCATTTTCTTTTGTAGTTAAGCACTCTGGAAGTGTTTCTTTCGATGAGATCATCAACGTTGCCCGTGTCATGAGGCCACGATCTATTGCCAGGGAACTTAGTGGTATGTATTTTAAGAATTTATGAATCAGGGCAATATTTATCATTCAGCCTCCCGCCACTGTGCTAGTCTGTAAAAGGGACTGTGTACTGTCCAGAGGAGGCTAATAATAACCCAGCTCTAGGAAGCAGGACTAATCAACTCGGTGGTTAACCCTGTGCCAAAAAGACTGGAACATGCATTATAACCATATATGAATGAGAGATTTTGATTTAGATGACTGTACAAACTGATCTTATTCTCGGTTTCTCAGGTACCATTAAAGAGATTCTTGGCACAGCTCAGTCTGTGGGCTGCACCATTGATGGTCGCCCTCCCCATGATGTCATTGATGACATCAACAGTGGCAAAATTGAATGCCCAGCTGTAAGTATTAAATTCCATTATTGTATGCATGTCATTTTTGCCTTTTACTTGCTGGTTTTAACTACATTTTCTTACTTGCAGGAGTAAAAAGAGGATTGAGGACAAAATAAAACCATTAAAATGACAAAAGTGTTGATTTTTCTTTCAGTGGTTGTCAAACAGGGATTAAGATGCTAGAAAACATGAACCAAGATTTGAGAACTGAGAAATAATCATTTTATATAGTCACATTTTAACTTAAACACTCCCAGTTTCTGTTTAAGCTTATAAACGAGCAGCATTGTAGTAATTACAGCAAAAATAGCAGAACACACAAGACTATATGAGGGACCTTGAAGTCAAAAAGTAATTCATTGGCTATATGAGTGGAATATACACTCACCAGCCACTTTATTAGGTACACCTGTTCAATTGCTTGGTAACACAAATTGCTAATCAGCCGATCACATGGCACCAACTCAATGCATTTAGGCATCTAGATGTGGTGAAGATGACTTGCTGAAGTTCAAACCAAGCATCAGAAAGGGGATTCAAGTGACTTAGTGTGAATGTGGAATGATTGTTGGTGCCAGATGGGCTGGTCTATTTCAAATACTGCTGATCTATTGGGATTTTCATGCACAACCATCTCTAGGGTTTACGGAGAATGGTCTGAAAAAGAGAAAATATCCAGTGAGCGGCAGTTGTGTGGACATGTCAGGAGAATGGGCAGACTGGTTGGAGATGATACAACAGTAACTCAAATAACCACTGTTACAACCAAGGTATGCAGAATACCATCTCTGAGCGCACAACACGTCGAACCCTGAAGCAGATGGGCTACAGCAGCAGAAGACCACACTGGGTGCCACTCCTGTCGGCTAAGAACAGGAAACGGAGGCTACAATTCGCACAGGCTCACCAAAATTGGACAATAGAAGATTGGAAAAACGTTGACTGGTCTGATGAGTCTCGATTTCTGCTGTGACATTCAGATGGTAGGGTCAGAATTTGGTGGAAAGAACATGAAGGCATGGATCCATTCTGCCTTGTCTCAACGGTTCAGGCTGGTGGTGTAATGGTGTGGGGGATATTTTCTTGGCACACTTTGGGCCCCTTAGTACCAATTGAGCATCATTTAAATGCCACAGCCTGCTTGAGTATTGTTGCTGATCATGTCCATCCCTTTAAGACTAGTGTACCCATCTTCTGATGACTACTTCCAGCAGGATAATGGCTACTTCCAGCAGGATAATGCACCATGTCACAAAGCTCAAATCATCTCAGACTGGTTTCTTGAACATGACAATGAGTTCACTTTACTCAAATGGCCTCCACAGTCACCAGATCTCAATCCAATAGAGCACCTTTGGGATGTGGTGGAA